CCGCCCCCGATCGCCACGCGATGCTGCAGAGACGTGTCAGCCAAGACAGTCCTACAACATCCAGAGACTTTAGATAATCAGATAATCAGGGCGGATCTCATCCACACCCGGAGCCTTGCCACCATGGAGGCTGCCAACCACCTTGGTGACCTCAGCCAGGGAGATGGATGTATCCGCCCCAACATCCTCAGCCTCTGCCTCTGTAACAGAGGACGTGACGGGGGGATTGAGGAGAACCTCAAAGTATTCCTTCCACCGCCCGACAATATCCCCAGTTGAGGTCAGCAGCCCTCCACCCGCACCGTACATGGTGTTGGCAAAGAACTGCTTCCCCCTCCTGAGGCGCCGGATGGTTTGCCAGAATCTCTTCGAGGCCGACCGATAGTCATGCTCCATGGACTCTCCGAACTCTTCCCAGTCCCGGGTTTTTGCCTCTGCAACAGCCCGGGCCGCGGCAGGCTTGGCCTGCCGGTACTGGACAGCTGCCTCAGGAGTCCCCCGAACCATCATGGCTCCATAGGACTCCTTCTTCAGCCTGACAGCATCCCTTACTGCCGGTGTCCACCACCGGGTTCGGGGGTTGCCGCCGGGACCAGCACCAGAGACCTTGCGACCACAGCTACGAGCCGCCGCATCGGCGATTGAGGCAGAGAACAAGGTCCACTCGGACTCCATGTCCCCCTCCTCCGCCGGGACCTGGGAGAAACTCTCCCGGAGGTGTGAGTTGAAAGTCCGTCTGACAGGGGGCTCAGCGAGACGTTCCCAGCAGACCCTCACTATACGCTTGGGTCTGCCAGGTCTGACCGGCTTCTTCCCCTGCCAGCGGATCCAACTCACGACCAGGTGATGATCGGTTGACAGCTCCGCCCCTCTCTTTACCCGAGTGTCCGAGACACGCGGTCGAAGGCCAGATGATACGACAACAAAGTCGATCATCGACCTCCGGCCTAGGGTGTCCTGGTGCCACGTGCACTGGTGGACACCCTTGTGCTCGAACATGGTGTTCGTGATGGACAAACTGTGACTGGCACAGAAGTCCAACAACTGAACACCACTCGGGTTCAGATCAGGGTGGCCGTTCTTCCCGATCACCCCTCTCCAAGTGTCACTGGCGTTTCCAACATGGGCGTTGAAGTCCCCCAGGAGAATAACGGAGTCCCCGGGCGGTGCACCGTCCAGTACCCCTCCCAAGGACTCCAAGAAGGCCGGGTACTCTGCACTGCTGTTAGGCTCGTAGGCCGTCACAACAATGAGAGACTTGTCCCCCACCCGGAGGCGGAGGGACGCGACCCTCTCATTCACCGGGGAGAACTCCAACACGTGGCGGCTGAGATGGGGGGCAATGAGAATGGCCACCCCAGCTCGCCGCCTCTCCCCGCGGGAAACTCCTGAAAAGTGGAGCGTCCAACCCCTCTCAAGGAGTTGGGTTCCAGAGCCCAAGCTGTGTGTGGAGATGAGGCCGACTATCTCTAGTCGGTATCGCTCAACCTCCCCCACAAAGCTCGGACTCCTTCCCCCCAGTGAGGTGACGTTCCACGTCCCAAGAGCCAGATGTTGGGTGTGTGGACTGGGTCGCCGAGGTCCCCGCCTTCGACTGCCGCCCAGTCCTCTCAGCACCGCGCCACGATGGACCCCTCTGCAGGTGGTGGGCCCACAGGAGGGACTGCCCACATCATCCATTCGGGCTGAGCCCGGCCGGGCCCCGTGGGCTAAGGCCCGGCCACCAGGCGCTTGCATACGAGCCCCGACCCCAGGCCTGGCTCCAGGGTGGGGCCCCGGCTGCGCCATGCCGGGCGACGTCACTGGTCTATTTATTGTGCTGTCCATGGTGGTTTTTGGACCGCTCTTCGTCTGACTCGTCACCTGAGACCTGTCTGCCATGGGAGACCCTACCAGGGGCATGAAGCCCCAGACAGCATAGCTCCCAGGATCATCCGAGTACTCAAACTCCCCCACCACGTTAAGGTGGCAGTCCAGGGGGGGAGTAGTAAAGAACATTTTAATATATTTAAGACAGAAAACAAAAGAATTCAGGCCAAGCATAAGTCTGGGATGAAGACAGCAAATGAAAGAAGAAAGAAACTGATCTAATCGTAGCTGAGATGACGAAATGGAAAGTCAGTCCATGCATTTCTTTAACTCATTCACTGCCCATGACGACAAAAGTCGTTCTATTGTATAGTGACGCTCACTGCCCAAGACGACTTAGACGACTTTTTCGTGTTATTACACGGGAGGCTGCAGTAATGTCTGGCGCACCTTGTTAATGACCCACAACACTGATATATAGTGCAAATGTACCTGTAATGATAAATCACCACCAGTAGGATGCAGTATTGCACCACGGGAGAGGTCATAAGTCAGTGGAGAGAAGGAGGAGGAGTGTGGGGTCTTTGGAGAGCGTGCTGTGCTGCTGTAGCAGAGCGATGATAGCGTACTGTAGCATTGAGACGGATCAGATCTAGTTTAGCGATAGTATAGCAAGAGTGATGGCAAAAAAGAATAGTTATAAGCAGTATACACTGCTTCAGAGATTGACTCGCGGATCAGTGAGTGAGGTCGAGAGGGGAGAGAGGGGAGACCCCGGTGGAGGTCCGTATCTGCAGCCATATTTGCGCGGAGCAAGAGCCCCGAGCAGAGACACACCTTCCGCCTCTCGCAGCGTATCAGCTGCTGTTGTTACTGATGCCTCGGATTCGTTCAGCAAACCTGATCATGATTTATCGGACACACTCACAAACACTCACACGCACTCACTCACTCACTCACGCACACAGACACTCACTCGCACACTGACACTCACTCACACAGACACTCACGCACACAGACACTCACTCGCACACAGACACTCACTCACACAGACACTCACTCACACACTGACATTCACACACACACACTCAAATTCACATGCTTCATTCTATTTTATACATCTATAGTTTTATTGATCTTTGTGTTGTTGTTGTTTGACGTTTTGGTTGATGGTATAGAAGAAAGTTAAATTTTCTATCTGTGAATAAATTGCCAACAATTTGCCATCAAAAGTATTATTTCAGAGTCATGTTTTTATAATTTTTGTAATGGAACAAGTGTGAAGATGTTTTGAGTTGTCACTAAAGCAGCAAAAATGCATCTAAAGTCTCTTTTCTGCTTGATATGTTCCTGTTTACATACAGCTCGTTTCCTCTGTTTTCTTGCTCAGACCAGGTGTTGTGGGTGAAAGTATGCTTTGTTCTATGGCAAATAACGCAAGAACGGTAAGAGGTAGAAACAAACTGTTTTTTTCAGAGTAAAGCAGAGAGGTGAATCTTTAATTTGGTGCCCTTGGTGTTTACATCGTCTAAAAAATGAATATTCTGTGGCACTTCAAAGTTGGGTCAAATCACCTGAAATTGCTGGCAGAATGCACTTCTCAAATCTGAAAATGCCTGGCAGTCAGTGAGTTAATACCATCAATCTCAGGCACCATCGGGTCTCAGCCACAGACCTCGGACTCCAAGACCAGAATACAGATGTGTTTCTTAAAATCGTCTCATAGTAAAGTCCAGAAAACATTCAAAAGCATGTAATAACACAGGAACCTAACAGCAGATACAATTTTCTTTTAAATTTACTCGCTGAATGCGGCCCTCAGTATCATTGTACGTGGCCCTCTGCCTCGCTAACCCAATGTAGTCTTTGAGATCATAAACACAAGTTCTCTGTGTCATCCATCCAACTTCAGCTCTGCCAATATAGACCTTGTTCAAAAGCCCAGTGCGTCGTTGACTTAATTTGCACAAACTTCATACTTCAACTATGAAAGACAAAACAGGGGGTAAGAAGTAAAATAAAATCACACTTAAAATGTTGATTTGATTTTTATTTGCTAAAAATTGTAAAAAATAGATATTTAGTAAAAAAAAAAAAAAAAAAGTCCATCTCAACATTTTACGTTTTACACCTTTTTTTGACAATGACAGAGGTCAAACTTTGAAGGTCTTTTCTATAAGTCTCCACAAGGTTTTCACACACTGTTGCTGGTATTTTGGCCCATTCCTCCTGCAGATCCCTTTTCCATGAGTTGAGATCTGGAGACTGCCACGTCCTAGATGCTACACAGATGCTACACAGATGCTACACAGACTCTGCACAGATGCTACACAGATGCTACACAGATGCCATTTTTTTTAGGAGGTATTTTCCTAAAAAGACCTACTTCACGACTCCCACTGATGACTTCTGTCGTTGTGTCCTTGGGCAAGACACTTAACTCCACTTTGCCTGAAGCCCCCACAGAAAGACCTCAGCTCCTGTGGACTCAGCACCTGAAGGAGGATCAGTGAGGGACTGGTGTTCTGTGTACTGGGTGCAGCTCTGACTGACACCCCCCGACCCAGAAATGGATTAAGGGGAAGAAAATGAATGGATGGATATGTATTTATTCAGACGGTGATAGAAAAAATAATAATAATGGCAACTTAATGAGGTACATAATACAAACAACAAACATTTACTGCATACTCTCGTCTGCCTATATGAGTCTGAGAAGGAGTGGGGGATGCGAACATATATATGAAATTTCTCCACTGAGGCACAAATAAAGGATCTCTTAATTAATATATGTCATTAGAGAAAATACATTAGCAAGACTCCGTTGGTTTTCCACTTGATACGAGCAGCTGCACATCTGCACACGCCACAGACAAAGACTCTCTGATTCTAACGGAGAGATGTACTTCCTGTCCCTCTGAGGACTGGGCTGCGACCCAACAATACTGTAATTAGTATTCATGTGTCATGTGCTGTGTGCTTCTCATTCCTACTGTTGTGTAACTCATGATGCAACCCTGGAATGTCCCCACAGTGGGAGGAGCCAAGGATCTCTTCATCTTCATCTTCATCAAACCTCCTGTTTATAAGTCCCAGCTCCTCTTCCTCCATGACAGGACCTTAATCTCAGTCAAATCTGGGTCACTGCAAATCTGGGTCACTTCACCTCCACTTTGAATCCTGCATTTCACATGGAACTTGTCTTTTCCTCTCCTCCTTCTCTCTCCTCCTCCTCTCTTTATCTCCTCTCTCTCTCTCCCCTTCCTTCTCTCTCCTCCTCCTTCTCCCCCTCTCATCATCCTTCTCGCTCCTCCTCCTCTCTTTACCTCCTCTCTCTCTCTCCCCTTCCTTCTCTCCCTCTCATCATCCTTCTCTCTCCTCCTCCTCTCTTTATCTCCTCTCTCTCTCTCCCCTTCCTTCTCTCTCCTCCTCCTTCTCCCCTTCTCATCATCCTTCTCGCTCCTCCTCCTCTCTTTACCTCCTCTCTCTCTCTCCCCTTCCTTCTCTCCCTCTCATCATCCTTCTCGCTCCTCCTCCTCTCTTTACCTCCTCTCTCTCTCTCCCCTTCCTTCTCTCCCTCTCATCATCCTTCTCTCTCCTCCTCCTCTCTTTACCTCCTCCCTCTCCCCTTCCTTCTCTCTCCTCCTCCTTCTCCCCCTCTTATCATCCTTCTCGCTCCTCCTTCTCTCTTTACCTCCTCCCTCTCTCTCCCCTTCCTTCTCTCACCTCCTCTCTCCCTCTCTTCCTCCCTCTCCTCCTTCTCTCCCCCTTATCATCCTTCTCTCTCCTCCTCTTTCTCCCCCTCTCATTATCCTTGCCTCTCCTCCATCTATCTCCCCCTCCTCCTCCCCCCCTCCTTCTCTCCCCCTCATCCATCCTTCTCTCTCCTCCTCCTTCTCTCTCCCTCCTCCTTGTCTCTTCCTCCTCCTCCTCTCTCCCTCCTCCTTGTCTCTCCTCCTCCTCTCTCCTCCTCCTTCTCTCCCTCTCATCATCCTCCTCTCTCCTCCTCCTCCTCTCTCCTCTTCCTCCTCTCTCCTCCTCCTTCTCTCCCCCTCATCATCCTCCTCTCTCCTCCTCCTTCTCTCCCCCTCATCATCCTCCTCTCTCCTCCTCCTCTCTCCTCTTCCTCCTCCTCCACCTCCTTCTCTCTCATCCATCGCTGTCATCTGCATTTGGCTTTAGTTAAAATAGACAGATGAATAATGCAGCGTCTGATGAACAGAATCACAGGAGAAATGAAGAAGTGAGATTCTGCGTCGTGTTTTTCTAAATCCGTCTCATTGAGGATTACAGCTCGAGTTTAGAGAATAAATTTAGAGAAATATTAAAAAGTTGGATGTGGAGTCTTGTCCTTAGTCCATGGTTCACTGCAGCAGCAAACTTTTTATTAAACTAAAGTTTTTAGTTTTTAGCCGTTAGCAGTTGGTCTTTAGCATTAGCCTTTTGATAAACTCTTTTAGCTGAATCCAGTGGGGGCGGGTCCCGGCTCAAAAGTGGCCAAAATGACGTGCGCTGACATGCTGCAATACCACCCCGGGCCTGTGGGGGTGGACCCGGAATGAGAATTAGCCAATGCTAACGTATAGCATTAGGTGACCTTTCAAAAACGTCTTTACAGGATGGTCCAAAAGTTGGCTCTTGGCCCAAAGCTCCGTTCCACATGTGTGTCAATGCTGAGGGGAGTGTTTTGGTCCACTCTAGTTTACTCACTGTGAATTTTTGAAGTCTCTCGTTCAAATGAATGGAGCTGCTCCGGCTGACGCATGCGCAGATGCGTTTTTTCACAATTTTCTTGTGGGCGGGACCACTTGCGGCCATTTTGGATAGCTCCAGTAGAGCAAATTTTTTGGCCCATTAGTTAGAACGGCAGAGATACAGTCTGTATATATTAACTCTGTCCGTTAATATATACAGTCTATGGTGTGAGTCTGTGTCTGTCCCTGTGTGTCTCAGTGTGCGTCTGTGTGTGTGTCTCTGTGTGAGTCTGTGTGTCTCTGTGTGTGTCTGTGTGTCTCTGTGTGTGTCTGTGTGTGTCTCTGTGTGTGTCTGTGTGTGTCTCTGTGTGAGTCTGTGTGTCCCTGTGTGTCTCAGTGTGCATCTGTGTGTGTCTGTGTGTGTGTGTCTGTGTGTCTCTGTATGAGTCTGTGTGTCTCTGTGTGAGTCTGTGTGTCTCTGTGTGTGTCTCTGTGTGTCTCAGTGTGCGTCTGTGTGTGTCCCTGTGTGTCTCAGTGTGCATCTGTGTGTGTCTCTGTGTGTGTCTGTGTGAGTCTGTGTGTCTGTATGAGTCTGTGTGTCTCTGTGTGTGTCTGTGTCTGTCCCTGTGTGTCTCTTTGTGAGTCTGTGTGCATCTGCGTGTGTCTCTGTGTGTCTCTGCGTGAGTCTGTGTGTCTCTGTGTGTCTCTGTGTGCGTCTGTGTGCGTCTGTGTGTGAGTGAATAATTGATGCTGGTCAGAGGGTACATAACTTTCACACATAAAAGATTTCAGTGTTTAATCAAATCCATGTGATTTTCCTCGCTCTGGTTCTAACGCTACAGTTTTCACACTTTAGCCTCTGTGACATCCTTACATCAGCTTTTCAAGTGCAAAAGTGAGGTGGTTATTTATACAGAACATTTTTACCGACCACAATCGCCCAAAGCGCTTTACAATGTTCAGAGTTCAGATATTATTACGGAGACATTGACAAGGCTCTTTCTGACGACTGTGTGGACAAACGACAGGTGTTATTGATGAAAGAAACAGTGTGTGAGTCAACAGTAACTTTGTCAGGATCATAGACTAAATATTAATGGACTAACTGAAAACTCTTCCCCCACGTTATAATGTATGTTCCACAGACAAGGGCAGAATCAAAATGGGGCAGCCCCTCCAACAGGAATGAAGTGAAACCCGGCTCCAGCCTCATTCATTTCTCGTTGGAATGTGCTGGAAACAACAGCACGTCCTCAGTGTCTCTGAAGTAGTTGTTTAATTGTATTTTACAATTGTCGTTTTTCTTCTTTTTTTCTGCCTGAGACGTCTCTGTAGTACATGGTTTTACACTGGTCCAGACCAGAGAGAGGATTCATGGTTTTACACTGGTCCAGACCAGAGCAGAGAGGATTCATGGTTTTACACTGGTCCAGACCAGAGCAGAGAGGATTCATGGTTTTACACTGGTCCAGACCAGAGCAGAGAGGATTCATGTTCTGGACCAAGCGGATCAGGCAAAAATCCACTGAGGCTAACATTTTGAGAAATGCTAATGAACCATTTAGCATACTGCATGTTTACATACTGCGAATATGCAGTAAACAAATATAAAATATTAGGTAGTAATTGCTTGATTTTTTATCTTAAAATGAGTTCATTATGACTGTTTTAAAACATAATTTGCCAATGGGACTAAGCCTGTTGCTTTATCTCATTCCAAGGGATATTTCTTGTATCATTTTCAAACCGGATAATTTTGCTTTTTCCAATTGGCTAAATCTTCTTTTAAGCCATTCTTTAATTTGAGCCATTTTTGACTTATTTTCCATCCCTTTTTGCAGTGTGGTTTCTCATGTTTCTCCTCAAAATTACGATTAAATTAGCATTCCCAGTTTTGCGTCTCCAACGAGCCAACAGCGTCACCGCTCGTTGTCATTGGAGACCGTTTGTGTTGTTTTGCAGTTACCGTTGTCGTTGGTACAGTATGTGGAACCCGAGAGCTCCCTGTGGGTCTGCTCTGTCATCGTCAGGAGGTCGTTAGCGTCCTCGGGCTCTGGTTTCCCCCCTGGACTCGGGTCTGAGGGGAGCGGAGAGGACGGAGGACTCTGTGGGGCCCGATCAAAGGGACACAGCTTTTATCATCAGCGAACGGCACAAGGACAAGGTCGAAGTGTTTTGTGGCGTTTCATCCAGTTCAATTAGAGGTTAAAAGCCGGCGCCAGCAGCTAAACAACACAATGGTTGATTTGTGCAGCCACTCCAATGTTTAAGTGTGGTTTTTACAAGAGTACAATGTTAATCTAATGTACACTGCAAAAACATGATCAAATACAAGATAACAAATGCTTGAATAAATAAGTCCAAAGCAATAAACATCTAAGCTAAAAAAACGGCTCTAAAACAGGGCTTAAAGACGGCTAAAATAGAGGCAGCATTCCAGACCCATGCACACAGAATCTGGAACAGTCTTCCCGAAGGTGTAAGACAGGCTCCTACCTCAGCTATGTTATGAAAACTGATCATAATTTTATTGTTGATATGTATATTTATTCATTATCTTAAACTGTCTTTTGTATTTGTTTTTACGGTTTGTTTTGAAATTGCTTTTAAATGTTGCCGATGTGAAGCACTTTGGGTTGTATTCTGTATGAACTGTGCTATAGAAATTAAAATGGATTGATTGATTGATAAAATCATGGATAAAAATCTGCTGCTGTTCAGTCCTTAGTTCTGATCACGAGTGTTTCGCTTCCCCCAAGTCTGACCCCGAGTCTGGCCCCGAGTCTAGCCCCGAGTCTAGCACCGAGTCTGACCCCGAGTCTGGCCCCGAGTCTAGCCCCGAGTCTAGCACCGAGTCTGGCCCCGAGTCTGGCCCGAGTCTGCCCCCGAGTCTAGCCCCGAGTCTGGCCCTGAGTCTGGCCCCGAGTCCTGCCACGAGTCTTGCCACGAGTCTAGCCCCGAGTCTTGCCCCGAGTCTGGCCCCGAGATTCTGGCCCCCCGAGTCTAGCCCCGAGTCTAGCCCCGAGTCTTGCCACGAGTCTTGCCCCGAGTCTGGCCCCGAGTCTGGCCCCGAGTCCTGCCACGAGTCTTGCCACGAGTCTAGCCCCGAGTCTTGCCCCGAGTCTGGCCCCGAGTCTGGCCCCGAGTCTAGCCCCGAGTCTAGCCCCGAGTCTTGCCACGAGTCTTGCCCCGAGTCTGGCCCCGAGTCTTGCCCGAGTCTAGCACCGTTCTCCGGCTTCCTCTTCGTCCCTCCCCCTCGCCGTCTTTTGTACCCGATGCACAGGTGTTGTACTTGTCTGTGTGACGTGAGGAGCCGGGGTGGTTCAAATGGTGAAATTGAATAAAAATAATAAAAACACACAACATGCTTTAAAATAGAAAAAAAAACCCTCGTGCTACGGTGTGTGTGACGGGCAGAGGGACCGGTCTGATCTGCTGGAATGGTTTAATGTGATATTCATGAATTTGTCTGTGCGTAACTGGTCCAATGTATATATGTTTTTTTAGCTGTTACTGTGAAAATGGGAACACACCTCAGTACAAGCATTAATTCAGTATTTACAACCAACCCTTGATCTTTGAGGGGAGCTTTAAGTCCACAGTCCACAACATACTGTCTTTATCTTATGTGATCTTGTGTATACTGGTATCAGAGAGCCCTGTGAGCCACTATTTATGCTGAGAGCTGATTGGCTGAGCAAAGGTGGTCCTCTCTTTTTCACTTAATAAAACCCACCACCGCTTTTGCACCCGCCGACACAGCTCCGCCAGATCGTCCAGAAACAATTCGTCATATTTCTCTCTCTCGTCGATGTGTAATATTTTTTGACTTTGAGGCTCCACAGAATCTCCTCTGAGCTGTGTCCAAACGAGAACATAAACTCTCGCACGTCACTCGGGTTCATAAACATGTGTCCTTGAAGTAACTATGGCGATAGCGTTCAGAAAATATTGAGCATCACGGCTAAAACTTTCATTTAAGTTTTTATTCATTTTGTTTATTCCAAAACCAGCTCTTAAAGTAGCAACATGTAAGATTTTCATGTCCAGTCATCATTTAAAGGACCTTAATCTGTCAAAAGGCATTAATAAAACATGCTCTTTTCCAATCACTTCTTTAACGGATAACAGTAGTTCAGAGATGTTTGAATTATAAATTAATTTTCCAGCCTCTAAATCTTGTTGTTTTCATTTCCATGTCCCGCCCTCCACGTTTCACCAATCAGAAAGTCTGTGATCCGGGCGCCAGAACTCACCGCGTGGAGCTAATCTCACTGGTAAAGTACCATGTGGCGCAGAACTAAAAAAGGTCTCGTTATGATTCTCAAATCATTAACGACAAAACAAGGAATAAAACCAGGATTTCTATCTTTGTGAAAAAGGTGTTGGTTATAGATTTATTGTTGACAAAAACTCTTGTGTATTCAGCTGTTATGGTCCCAGCTGGATTCGTCTGCATATCTGGAAACCTGAGTCAGGGAGAGTGGGAGAGGCTGCATAGTACCACTTTTGGCCACATGTTTAATTACTGCTCCTTTAACATCATTTGACAAACCTTCTTCACTTCAACAGGGTCACCCCCACTTAGGACCCAAGTGTACCTGACCGCTTTAAGAGATAATTCCAATTGAAACTTGTCACTTTTGTTGTACATAATTATTGTCACTTTTATTGTACATATATCCTGCATGTAACATGTTTGCAACCTGTTTTCCTCCTTTTGCACACTCTGAGTGTCTCTATCCATGCCAAAATGTGAACATGTAAATTTCTCCTCTGTGAGATAAATAAAGCACATCTTATCTTATCTTATCTTAATCACAGTACGTTCAAAAGTGTGTCGTTAGAGGGGTTTCTCAGTCCTCTCTCTGCTGCACACCTGCACCTGTGTCCATCAGCGTTTAAACAGAGCCTCTCAGTCCCTGCTTTAAGCTGCTGTTCGTGTGGCAATCCCACCTCCTCCCCGTCACTGTTCTCTTTAAAAGGAGGAATTGTCACGTTTATTCAGCTCAGCTTCCTCCACCACCCAGATCTAGACCGGGAGCGTTCTGCAGACGTCATGCAAATATTATGTCACATGTCGTGCATCTGTGCAATAGTTTAAAATAATATCAGAGGTGCAACATAGAGCCACATGTGTCACTTTGTCCCAGACCCTCTTGCTCCCAACATGCACCTAACATGTAAAAACATACAACTATACATACAACTACATACTAGAATATACAGAATGTTATACTAGCTTCTTTATTATGCTAAAGCTAGAGATTTTATACTTTCTTTTTGATTATGGTAAAGCTAGAGATGGTACGTATTTAAAATGTATTCTCAGTGTGACAGGAGCCAGTGTAAGGACTTCAGGACAGGAGTCATGTGGTCTCTCCTGTGAGTGCAGGTCAAAGGCCTCGCAGCAGAAGTTTTAACTTGTAAATGAGTCAGATCTTTTTTGTTTTTGTAAGCAGCTGATACAGTCGTCCATGTCCCATACACAAACGCAGGGAATTTAATTGAAAGTTAGGTACCCCAGCTTTACGTTTTTGTGCTGATGCATCCTTTATGGTAAAAGAGATATATATTTGTAAGTCTGTAAGTCATCTTTTTTTATATGGCACATTTTTACAGACCAAGGTTCATAGTTGATTAGATATGTTCTTTGGAGCTATAGCTCGGCTCAGTCTCCGTCTGAGCTCAGCACTTGCTCTGAGTGTGAAGCTGAATGTGACGAAAATACAAATCTGAATCAAGGAACTATTATGGTCATATTGAATTTCCTTTTCTGTGAATGAGCTGAGGAAACAGGAAGTGAGTGAAATGTGCATCGTTCGGACTCTAATCTCTGTTTGGTTAAAAGCCATTCTGCACACCTCACAATCCGACTTATCATTTCCTCTCATTAAAGCAGAAGCAGACCAGAGAAATCTGGATTTTCTGGGTTAAAAATACCGTCTTCTTATAGTATTTGTGACGGTTTTGTCAATGTCTCTGAATAATCAGCTGCGTGTTGATTGGCCGATGGGAATCTGTCTGAGGACGAGACGAGAACTCACACACAACAACATTCAAATCTATCAGGATTCATGAGAGAGTTTGAGGAAGACAGACTACAGAGAGAGAGACTCTCTACAGAGAGAGAGAGACCTAGAGTAAGGACCAGAGAGAGAAAGAGACCAGAGAGAAACTGGAGAGAGACTAGAGAGAGACAAGAGAGAGACTAGAGAGAGACCAGAGAGAGACCACAGAAAGATTCTACAGAGAGAGAAAGAGAGACCAGAGAGACCACAGAGAGACCAGAAAGAGACCAGAGAGAGACCAGAGAGAGACCAGAGAGAGACCAGAGAGAGACCAGAGAGAGACCACAGAAAGATTAGAGAGAGACTACAGAGAGAGAAAGAGAGACCAGAGAGACCACAGAGAGACCAGAGAGATGTATTATCCTCCGGTCCTGACCAAGAGTTTCTCAAGGATCCAGGGATTGGGTCAAACACAAAAACAGTCAACATTCCACGTTACGTGAGATACTTCTTTCCGTTAATTTTTCGGTATCATTTTCCTTTTCGTCCCAACTATCTGCAGTGTTTTTGCAGTGACTCCGACTGTGACTAATCCTTGTCCTGCGTGTGTCCGTGTCCCTGAGCTTGAAGCCGTTTTGAATGAAATAAACGAAGGTGAAAGCGAGTGCCCTGTTTGTGACGAAGGTTTGTAGCGAGGCCAATGTTTAAGGTGAAACAAGGTCATTAAAACAGATGAAAGCCAAGGCATAAAGTGACTTGTGTGAGAGAGAGAGAGAGAGAGAGAGGAGGTTGTTCCCTTGAATGTGAAATAAAAAATGCAAATACAAAGTTACGGCAGAGCACAGAGGAGAGTTGACAATTTAGCAAATATATATTCACGGTAGATCAGTCATAAAGAGACCACTCAAACATATGAGAGTTTGTTTGGCTCGAGCGACATATTTGGAGTGACACAGGGAAGAGAGGGATGGTGAGGAAAGAAAAAAGGGTCAAAATAGGCACACAAATGTTAAAATTAGTTGTGTAAAGTTACAGCGCAGGGCAGCCAGGACTAGAGAGAGAGAGACCAGAGAGAGACCAGAGAGAGACCAGAGAGAGACCAGAGAGAGACCAGAGAGAGACCAGAGAGAGATAGAGACCAGACAACAGAGTGAGACCAGAAAGGGAGACCAGAGACAAGAGAGAAACCGGAGAGAGAGCAAAGAAAGAGAGATCATAGTCCAAAGAGAGAGAAAAAAAGAACAGACACCAGAGAGAGACCAAAGAAAGATAGACCCAGAGAGAATAGAGAGAGAGAGACCAGAAAGAGAGACCAGAGAAAGAAAGAGAGTCCTGTGATAGATGGATAATAGATAGATACTTTATTGATCCCCGTAGGAGAAATTCAGGTGTCCAGCAGCAGAAGGAACAAAGGATCTCTTGAAACGTTCCGTTCGGCAGCGTAGTGATAGGAGCCTGTTGCTTCAATGACTCCTCTGAGCGGCCATAGTGTCATGCAGAGGGTGTCTGGAATTACCCAGGATGCCCTGCATTAGAGCCCTCATCCTTCTCTCCAGCACAGCTCTCACTGAGTCCACACTTCTCCCCGTCACAGAGATACTTTTCCGGATCAGCCTGTGGAGCCGGTTACTCTCTCTCGAGGTCAGACTGCCGCCAACACGCAACCCAGTCTGGTACCACAGACTGTGTCCAGGTCAAAGGACTCCCAGTCTGGTCTGTGGTCAGGTGGACTCCCAGTCTGGTCTGTGGTCCAGGTGGACTCCCAGTCCTGGTCTGTGGTCTAGGTGGACTCCCAGTCTGGTCTGTGGTCTAGGTGGACTCCCAGTCCGGTCTGTGGTCCAGGTGGACTCCCAGTCTGGTCTGTGGTCCAGGTGGACTCCCAGTCTGGTCTGTGGTCCAGGTGGACTCCCCAGTCCTGGTCTGTGGTCTAGGTGGACTCCCAGTCTGGTCTGTGGTCTAGGTGGGACTCCCAGTCTGGTCTGTGGTCTGTGGTCTAGGTGGACTCCCAGTCTGGTCTGTCTGTGGTCTAGGTGGACTCCCAGTCCGGTCTGTGGTCTAGGTGGACTCCCAGTCTGGTCTGTGGTCTAGGTGGACTCCCACTGCTTCTGCCGGACGCCCAAGTGGGATCATGACGGGTCAAATGCAGAGGACAAAGGGATAAGTAAAGTGCACATTTACATTCACACATTTATATTTCTTCTGACCGTGCACACAGCCACATCCAGAGCTCTTCATCCTTTCCCTTCACACGGTTCTTATCATTGTGCATTGGAGCCTTGATGGTGTCCTCTCCTTGTCCAGAACCTGCGGAGTAAGCAGACCTCCGCCTCTGTCACCAACGTCACACACACAAACGCTGAATCACGGCCCAGCTCCAGCGGCGAGCGGCGAGTGGGAGGACGGACTCTATAGGATTCAGAAAGGTGGATGTGAGACTGTGCTCAGAGAGATAAGGCCGAGATCTGTCACAAACACACTCACATTGATGAGGGCGACCGCTGTTTGTCATTTGTTCAGACTTCCCTTCCCCAACACTGTCCTACGCCAGAAGTCCCAGAGCAGTCAAGTTGACGGCTTTCCGTTTAGGAAGTGCAATTATTTAGTGTACTTTCTTGGTCTTCATAACTTGATGTACTGTAAAGGTGAGTTCTCCCTTTAACTCTTCATTTTGGCTCAGCTCCCTCTTTACCACAATGATCCGATAAAGCTCTGACTGCAGACGCTGCTCCCTCTTCACCACAACAGTCCAATACAGCGGCCACATCACTAATCACTACACACTCTGCACCGATCCGCCTGTCAAGCTCACGCTCCATTCTTCCCTCACTCGTGAACAACACCCTGAGATACTTCAATCAATCAATCAAACTTTATTTATAAAGCGCTTTTCATACAATAAAATGCAACACAAAGTGCTTTACAGCTGAGTCAAAATCAATACAACATACCCAATAAACCCCAAAGTACAGCCCACATACCAATGGCAACAATCTTTCCATTATCCTTTCGACCTGACTACACACTCTACCTGTGTTACACACCGTCTACATGTAAATATGAGAGACATGGAAAAAGCTTTAGAGCATCGGTGGACTGCACCTGTGATGCTTGGGAGTATGCTATATCCAATACAGGTCCGGATTGGGGTTATAATAAGGAACACAAATTGAAGGGACGAGTGATTCTGACTACAGACCACTCACAAACAACGGTGCTAGTCACTGTGAAAAATTGTGGGATTGATGTGAATGGGACTTACGTTATTGGACATTACCCAGGAGACATTAGACAATGGATTTCAATTGCCCTACCCGAGGATCAAGGAGCTAGACAAGGAGGCCATAGATAGTGAAGTATGGCAGGACAAACAGAACGTACAGGTGACGGCTGACTGGACTGTTTCTGAATTGTTAAAACAAGCAACTGGATATGGGGATAGAAACGCTTGGTTGTGGACCGTGGAACACATGTCAGCGGCTGCTGGCTTTGACGATTGTGTTGTGTGCTCCACTGCACGTCCCACTTTGTATACAGCCCCTGCTCCACTTTTCCCAGAAGATGTAGATGGTTATAATTGTATGATAAAGTTGTTTTGGCAAGAAAAAGACCTGACTGAGGAGACAAAGACAGCCCCTAGTAATTGTTCAATGTTTGAAGTATTGTTCCCAGAATTGGATTCAGAAATTCAGCCCCCTATGTTTTCCCACAGGAAAAGCAATTACACCTGTTTCCACTCACTCAATGGAGGGACGAGGCCGCGTCTCCAGTGGGGGTTCCTTCCAGCAGACTGGTGTGTCAACAACGTCACCCTGCCCAGTCCGGTCCACATGACCCGGACCAGAGGTGATTTGTATTGGTTGTGTGGAGATTTAAAACTTAGACATAGACTAATAAAATTTTTTACAGGCAGTTGTGCAATGGTGCGATTAATGATGCCCATTTCCATAATTGGCCATAAGCCATCCCTAGACAGTCCCCACCCACTGCATAGATTTAAAAGGGCAATCCCATTCCTAGATACTGGGAAAGATAATCCAACTTACATGGACTCTATAGGTGTTCCACGTGGAGTCCCTCATGAATTCAAACTGGTAGATCAAATTGCAACAGGTTTCGAAAATCTTCCAATAATTTCAGCTATTTTCCCTATTACGCCAAACAAAAATGTAGATAGAATTAATTTCATTTGGTATACTATGCTCCGGCTTGCCAATCACACCAGTGACGCAATAGAGGGATTGGCGGAGCAGCTTGGGGCCACCTCTCTGGTAGCATTTCAAAACAGGGTGGCTCTAGACATGCTCTTAGCAGAGAGAGGGGGGGTCTGCAGTCTATTTGGTACAGAATGTTGTGTATACATTCCAAATAACACACATCCAGATGGATCAGTTTCCAGGGCTCTGGCTGGTCTCAAAATGCTGTCAGAGCAAATGCATGACGTTTCTGGAGTCCCAGAGAACCCACTGGAGGCGTGGCTGGACAGCATCTTGGGGAGGTGGAAGCATGTAATTTTGTCTGTTATCACAAGCCTTGCGGCCATCTTTGCAATAATAATGGTTGTAGGATGCCGCTGTATACCTTGTATACGTTCTCTTTGTGTTAAAGCTATAGACACCGCTGTTAACCCTGGACTGAGAGGTCAAATGCTTGCATTGGTTGAGGATTCCCCCGTCCCGTTGCCCGAGGAAGGTTATTGAAAGGTGTGGCCTTTTTAAGAGCGGCCAAGAGAGGGAAACTGTTGTATTAAATATAGATTTAAAGCCGATGTGATTTTGATTTGACCCGGAATTGAACTCTGTATTTTTCCAAGCTTGTATTGCTCTTCTCCCATTTTTGTCCAAAGTGCATGGGTAAGTTAATGATAGTTAATCTCAGGCCAAGGGGGATCGGCATTCCTGGATTCTGCTAAATCCTTTCAGTTGTTTATAGGAGATGGAGCCCAGAATCTGGAGGAGCAGCCTTGAGAGCCTTCTGCCTTATCTCAAGGAAGTAATAAATCTATAGATTGGGGAGGGGTAGTGTGTGTGAATGATTCTGTTTAAAGGTCCGGCGAGACAGAGGGGACATGATGGAAGAGGCCGGACCCTGGACCCAAGACCTGCCTGATACGACACGCCCCCTTCTTCCTGCACATTTACTTAATGAATAGCTTGAATGTGTTTTTTTAGTTTTTTACCGGACCAGGGACAGTGTGTGACTGGATGTGGAGCGCCCACTCAAAAGTTATACTTTTATACTTTATATAGAGAATAAGGGATAGTTACTTTTGGTCCGAACAGCTGTTTTAGATTCTTTTTGTATTAGGGAAATAAACCTTTTTGAATTTAACTTTCTGAATCATGGTCATCTTTATAAGGGATTTTGAACACGTCATTTTTTTAATACGTTAAAGCTGTAGCAAAACAAACTCTATCAGCAAGTGAAACGATCATCAAAGACACTTTTCAATCGCCATCTCTACATGACCGATCTCTACATGGCCAATCTCCATGTCCGATCTCTACATGTCCGATCTCTACATGACCGATCTCTACATGTCCGATCTCTACATGTCCGATCTCTACATGTCCGATCTCTACATGTCCGATCTCTACATGTCCGATCTCTACATGTCCGATCTCTACATGTCCGATCTCAAGCTATTGACGAGCTTGTTAAATATCTGCAGGTACGTTGGTAATACTGAAAGAAACATTGTTATTTTGTGTGTGGGTAGACGCCAAACAATATTTTTTACAAAGTAAATCAACATGTTTTACAAAGTTGGTACAGAACAGAGTTTTTACTTTAATTGTTAGACTTGTCACGTGGGTGAAATTAAATGAGACCCAAAATGCAAAACTGCAAAAAGTAATGGATTTAATAAAAAGATGAAACAAATCCAAAAACACCGGGAACGAGGACCAAACTAAAACAGACAAGGAATGACAATGACGGAACAGGGAGTGAAGGAACACACAGGGCTAAATACAAGACTAACGAGACACAGGTGAGACAGATGAGGGCAGGGCAGGTAATCAGACAACAGGAAGTACAACCAAAGAAGACACAGGAATAACACATTTCAAAATAAAACAGGAAATAAACTTAAACCATGACAAGACTTTATGTAAAAACAGTCTCTCTGAAACCATCATCAGTAACCATCGTTGTAAAGTTCTGTACTTAAACTGTATTTTTTATTTTCCTTTTTTTTTTTTCCATCCAGATGTTCTTCATGGTCGTTAACCATAAGGTGCTCCATGCCAGACACAAACAGCACTTGCCGCGATGGATGAACTCTTCAAAGTGCCATTCATCTTCAGTTTGAACTATGCAGAGTCACTCACAGACTTTTACATCTTCATAGAAACAACGGTCTACAACATAGACTTTGGACGAGTGAAGGAAAAGCCCAGAGTCAAAGAGCTCAAGGATCTAAAATGCTGAGCCCCAAGATTCCATCTAAAGAGTCTGGACAATGTTTGTCTGTTTCTTCTGTAAAGGACAACATTCCAGTTCTGCAGCACTTTGCCAACATTTAAAGTGGACATATCGTGTTTTCAAATAATTGATTTTTACATCTAAATCATTCATTTGTGGCCTATATAAAGCGTAACTGCAATGCCTGGGTTTGAGTCTCATTATTTGTAGCTCCACGGGCCTTTCTTCTACACCTGTTCTGAGGTGCGTCTGAGAGCAACCTGTTTTGGTGCTGTCTCTTTAAATGCAAATGAGGCGCTCAATGCAAACCCCCCCATCCAGGTGACACAGGTTCAACTCCACCCAGAGCGGCCATTTTCGTAGTTTCTAAGCATAGATACAATTATCTCATAGAAACTTCTCATTACATCGCAAACATGAAGCAGGCCTTCCTCATTGACTGAAAGCAAATGTTAATTTTCATTCTTAGTCTACGTCGCAGGGTATGTTGACAGAAATGTTTAAATTGAATATTACTTATGCACAATTTTACAGCAATTAAAACGTTAAGAACGTTTTTCCTTCTACAGAAGGAAAGAGACGCATGCGCCTCTGGAGCCGCAGGTTGCCGACTCCTAGTTTATACAGTATGTGGAAGCAAATACTGTAGAGGATCAGGATATGTGCAGTTTCAACAATAAAATAAAATGCAATAGTCTACATTACAAGAGAGTAATAAACATGCCTCAGAGTGAGGGAGGTGGACACAGACAACACTATTGTTTGTTACAGGGATGAGAATTGGTCAAAAAAGACTGAAATGCATATTGTCAGCCATTTGTTGGCTCTAAATCTTTTTAATTTGTTCACAACATATTACTTTTGGGCTCAAACATGAACTTTTAATGCAATGCAAAATTTAGGTATCAGAGCTTTATTTAGGGTGTTTAATCGCGCTTCGAGAGGACAGGGGAGACGCGGACTGTTTCCTGCAGCAGTGTATTTATTGG